GTTTAGAACTAAAATGAGTATTAAAATCTGATCAGACTTATCTAATACTCATCATAAATGATTACTCGGCCAAGTGGGAGAATGTTAGACACGATTTTATTATGTGGCCTGAGTTATCATTTATCTAATTAATTGATCATTGACCTAATAAATACCCTACGTACTTAATTGGTAATTATTCGATGGACGTAATTACCCTTATGACCTAATTAGGGTTTCCCCTTGGGTGTATATATATAGAGGTCATTAGACAGAGATTAACACACCAATCTTACGCCTTCTCTCTGCCTCTCTATTCTCGTGAGTCTCATCCTCACCTTAGCCATCATAACGATACACCCTAAACGGGAACTCGATCTGCGTGAGAATCATGGCTTCATCCCTAACTACATTTACAGGATTATCAGGTACACATGATTAAATCCCTAATTTATATTTTATGTTTAAGAATTGATCAACATATCCATCAAATCACACTTTTACCCATCACATCAATGGACATTTTTGGAAATTCAATACCAAAATACACTCCCCTTAAATCCCCCTTCAAAATCAAAACTCCCATGTTTTCCGGGACGGGGGGAGGGAGGGAGTATTAGAGAAACAGAACTCATTTTATTAGATATTCTCTCCGTCTATAAATTTTCTTCCTATTTGACTATTCATGATCTTCGATGTAATATTTTGACCATTAATATCATTATTTTTTATATAAATATATACTCCGGAGTATTATAAAAATATTTTGGACGGGGAATATGAACAATGCATTTATTGAAGTACGAGCCCATTAATGCATAGGCCCATTTACTAGTCTTCCAGTTGGGGGCAAATTGCCCAGATGGTACCGTAGCTATTTGGATGGCATCAATTTGTGCATTCGGGCCAGTCCGGATTGAGCCCAAACAAATTTTGCTTGACCTTTTAATCTTTAAACTTTTGAAGGAAAAAAAAATCACATTTTATCCTTTTCAAATTATTTTTTCTCAAAAAATAGTATATTGACGTATTACGTATATATATAGATATTATGATGAAATTTTTACATACTACTTACTTCCTTCGTCTAAAAAAGAGTTGCATATTGTTGTTTTTAAGGAGTGACAGAAGTTATTTTTAATTCAATTTATTTTAAAATTGGTAAAGAAATAAAATTTTAAAACTACATCACAAGTTTTAGAAAACAGAAGGTGACCAGACTATATTGTTTTTTCAGATGGGTCCTAAAAATGGATAAAGATTGTGGTTAATGTTTGACTTTTTGAATAGTAAACAGACAGCTTAATTTGCAACGTGGAGATTATTAATAAAAAAAGTGTTTAAGGTCATAATCATTAACAATCAAACATTTTATAGAACAAAAAAATTCAACAATGCCCAAACAACAAAAGAAACTTGTCTCACTATGTGGGATCGACTAAATGAATCAAACGATATTCCTATCTGTAGTTTGCAAAGGTCTCCTTTGACCACTTTGTTCCAAGTTCTCTTAGATCTATCTATTCTCCTAGCCATATGTTTATTTACAAATTGACCAATCCTTCTCACTAGATGCTTTATTGATATTCTCTTCACGTGTCACGACCACCAAAGACAATCCTTCCTCAACAAATGAATTTTAGTTTTGTTTCTTGTGATTGGTATTTCTTGCATTGCCTTCGTTTTGTTAAGATGATGGAAGAAACTCAATGACTTGTTGTGATAAATATATTGATTCTATCGAGAAATATACCTATTGTATACCAACATACAATAAAACAACATATTCATTTATAACTTCTAGCCTTCAAAAAGAAATTTCTCTTGTATATATATAATCACATGCCTCAACTACAAACATGAACAAAAAAACTTATTTTATACATTTTGGCCTTCATATTTTCATACAGCGTGTTGTTATATCTACCTTCATTTTGCCTATATCCACTCCATTAATGTTAAATGGATATTTTTAACCTCAAAAATAGAAAAGAGAGAATTTTGATGCAAGTCAGTTTTAGTCCATTTAACATAAAAATATTGGATATAGCTAAAATGGAGGTGTATATAACAACACCCTTTCATACACTTATGTAAACTTATCTTCTTGTTCCTACTCTCAAGCTTGAGAGAAGCTTCAAAGGGTCTTCTTGCATTGATGGCTTGTCCGAAGCTCGACGCCGGATGCTGAACAATGCGACATCAAGAACTCTCTTCACTTCCTCCTTAATCGGATTATTAGAATACGGGATATCGTTCTCGCGAAGGACTTTTTTCAGAAGGGCATCATCGTCATTCGGTTTCGTTGGTGTGCTTGCAACTTCTGCTTTGCTAACTCTGCCATTGGTTAAGACATCCATAACCAATTGGCCAAAGTTGTGTATGTCTTTATAGAGCAATTCTTCTTTGATCACTACTCTTAATTCGCCTGTTGCAGTAATTGAGAATTATATATGTTTCATAAACATATTATTTGACATAAAGATATGAATATTGTGAAAAGAACCATGTACAGTGGTGAGTAATATATATAAACAACAAGACATTAATAATGTTGCTCATATAACTATATCAGACACAAAGACATTAAGCATGAATAACTATTAGAGTGTCAACCTTGATAATAAAAAAATCTGAATAATATTTTTGATATACATACAAGTACTATGATTTAAAAAGGCACAAATCTTTTGACATTGGCCCCATAGTTGTTAAGGCGACTAGGCGAGTCTAGGCGCTCGGGTACCTTCTAATCGCCTAGGCGTCCTCTAGGCGAGTGGCTATGACAACTTTAATATTTTATAGGTATTAATATAAAAGCATATAATATGAAATAAGTAATTAAAGAGAACATATGAACCCCAAAAAATAAAGAGTATATATTCTAAAATATATGAATGAATGTTGTTTTTCAAAAAAATAAAATTTAAAAATATATTAAGACAAATAAGTAAATATTTTGATATTTCTAAACTTTTTAAAAGTGAAATAGTATTTAGGCCCAATGCTCTTTTAATAAACAACTATATTAATAAGTGTAAAGGCCCACTCCTCTTTGAATAAACTCAGCCCAAATTAGTTAACCTAAAAAAATAACTAATTGGAGAGTTAAAGAGTCGGAGGGTTTAGAGGAGCCGCTGGAAAGTGGTTTCTACCGTCTAACTTCAAAATTCTTGCCCCTATCTTAAATGTCCCACTCCAAAACCCCAAAAATGCTACTTCCTCCGTCCCAGGAAACGAATCCGATTTGAAAAAAGGCAGGCTTTTAACATTTTAGTGTTATTTTTTAATTTTGTCTTTACTTTCTATAGTAGGATATGATGTGTTGAACTTAGGAATAACAAATAACAACTCAGTAAAATCTTACGGAGGCATGATCTGGGGAGAATGGTACGTGTACGGAGACTGTGCCGTGACTCGAAAGTAGAGATATTGTTTCAAAGAGACCCTCAACTCGAGTAACACAAAAAGTAACAAGCAAAGATAACACTAAAATGATTTGCTTTTAAAACCCGTCTTTTTTCAAACATGAAATATTTTGAGGATGAAGGGAATATATGATAAAACTGTAGCATTTTGGTGTTTTTGTGATGGGGCAAATATGGGCAAGAGGTTTGGTGTTTTTGTGATGGGGCAAATATGAGCAAGAGGTTTTAGGTAAGAACCACACAAAAAATACACTATATATGGTCAATTTTAAATATTTCTTTCGTTCTAAATTATTACTCTTTGTTTGTTTATGGATAGTCCCAATTTAAACTTTCGTTCTCTACATCACTTTTAACAACACAATTTCTTTTTTAAATTTTTTTTTGTACAAAATCAAGTTAAGACGATTAATTTGAATGACAATAACTTTCTATATCAAAAGAACTTTGGCATGTGAATAAATTGTACAATACCTGAATTAACGTTGTCCAATTGAGAGAGTGAAGAAACCCCAAATCCAACCAAATGTGGTTCCATCTTCTCGTCGAACACCACCTTACTGCCCTTCAAATCCCCGTGGGCGATCGGAGGGAAACACTCGCGGTGGAGATACCACAGTCCCCTGGCGATTCCGGCCACCACCTTCACCTTCGTCTCCCAATCCATCTTCCCGCCGGCGATCTTCTCCGACAGATTCCCGTTCGGCAGGTAATCGTAGATCAGGTAAGCCACATCCTTCCTGTACATGAATCCCAATAGCCTCGCTAGGTTTTTCTGCCTCGCGTTCCCCAATTGGTTGATGAATTCCGACGCGATCGCCGTCCTCCCCCGTCCCCACCTGATGCTCTTGACCGAAACGGTTATTCCGGTCGGGAGAACCGCTTTGCAGACCGATCCCGGCGCCGTCCCCGGCGGCGGAGGGGAGTCGGTTAAGCTTCCGAGAATGTCCTTTGATCTGAACCGGTGAAGCCCGTCAAACGACACCGTTCTCCACCCGTTCATATAGACTCCGGCGAGCATTGCGGCGGTGATGCAGGAGATAATCGTCCCGCAGAGGATCAGAGCCCGGGCGAACTTTTGCGTCCATCGGATCGGCCCATTATGGCAAGCCCGTAAGGGCGGCCCACATAATTTAGGATTACCCTGGAATAGACCGGCGTCCATGGCACTAAACTTTTCGGGGATCGAACCGGAAACGTCGTTAAACGAGACGTTTAGTAGCGCTAACGTTTCTGACGCCGTTTCGAATTCTGACGGAATCGGGCCGTTAAAACGGTTGTGGGAAAGGTCGACAACTTTAACGGCAGGTAGACCGACCAGCCAGGCCGGGATCCGGCCCGTTAAGTGGTTAAAAGACAAGTTCACCCTCGCCAAATCCTTACAGTGGGAGTCACTTTCCGAAAATTCCGGAAATTCCACAATTGGAAGCCGAAAAGTTCTTGAGGGACAACATCTGCCATGTTTTTTCTGGGATTATCCCTCCTAGCTCTGGATTATAAGACACATTGAAATGTTTCAGTTTTGAAGCCGCCGGAAGATCCATCGGAATGCCGCCGGAGAATCTGTTTCTTGACAGGTCCAGGTACGTTATATCAGGAAAATTGCTGAAATTGAGAGAGATCTCACCTGTGAAAGAATTATTTTCCAGCCGGACTCGGATTAAGGTGGAACAGTTTGAAACGGAGGGGCCGATTGGACCTGTGAATCCGTTGGAGAACATGATCAGCCTCGAGAGTGACCCGCCGGAGCAAATTCCGGGAGGAATTCCGCCGGTGAATTCGTTTGTCGAGACGTCGACTTCTTTGAGCTTCGAGTGCCTCCCCAGGCTTTCCGGGAGGGATCCGTTGAAGGAATTGCTCCAGATGTGGAAGCTCTCGAGCTTCGGGAGCTGGGCTATGGCTTCCTGGACTGTCCCGCTCATCTCATTGTACATGAGACTGAGTAGCCGGAGGTTCTTCAGCTCCGAGAAGGTCTCCGGGATCGGCCCAGAGAGGAGATTCACAGAAAGATCCAAGCTTTCGAGAGAAGTGATTCTTCCCAGTTCTTCTGGGATGAATCCATCAAGAAAGTTACCGAACATGAAGAGCGAAGTTAGTTTTGTGAGATTTCCGAACTCTCTCGGAATGGGTCCGGTGAGATTGGCCCCAGAAATGTCCAGGTATTGAATCTCACTCAAATTACCCAATTGCCACGGGATAATTCCTTCGTATGAGTTGTATCCTATCTCCATGTGAGTTAAAGATTTGAGCTTTCCCAGTTCAGGTGGGATTTTCCCGGCGAGAGAATTTCCGGCCAAATGGATGTATTCGATATTCTCCAGCGAGCCATACTCGGAAGGGATTGGGCCGCTGAAAAAGCTCCCTGCAAAATTCAATCTCTTTAATGAACGGAGTTTTGAGACTTCGGAAGGTAAGTTCCCGGAGAAGCTGTTACTGAGGGCATCAAGAATCTCCAGGCTCCCCAGATTCGAGATCCCCGCCGGGAACTCGCCGGAAAAGTTGTTCCTGCTGACGTCCAGTGATCGGAGACTGGTGAGGTTGAAAACCCCAGAGGGGAGATTCCCGGAGAAGAAATTGTAGCTGAGATTCAGATCAAGAACGCCGAGAAAAGCCCCGAATTGGTCATCGGTAAAAACCCCCCGGAGATTCTTCCCGGAAAGGTCCAACCCGACCACCATTGATGAGTTCTCGTTGCACCGGACGCCAGACCAGAGACATCCATGGATTCTTGAGCTCTGAAACCCAGACGATGAATTCAATTCCGGGGGCAAAACCCAGTCACCCAGAGCGTTGGAATCATCAATCAGCTGAGATTTTAAGGCCAGGAGTGACTCGGAAATGGGGTCAACGGCCGGGGCAACTGGGATTGACCAGATGAAGATTGACAGAAGAAAAGAGTGGAGAAGAAGAACAGCCATTGATTGATGAGAGGGTGAAATTAAGCCTGGGAGATGATGAGATTGAAATTTAAAAGAAAAGATTTCATTTTCTTTTCTTTTTTTGTTGCTTTAACTGCACATTTTACTGGAGTTGGTGTTGCATGGGGACTAGAGAAAGATTGCAGGGGAGAAGAAGGCAATGACAATTTCGTGAAGTTTTTTATGATGGTGTATGGGAGTGGTTAAATTTTTTTGAAAATTAATTAATTTGATTAAAATATTTTAGAGGTATTTTTCACCTTTTGTTTATCCATCTCTAAAAAAACCAAACACCCCTAAATATTTTAAAGAATACGGAGTACAAACTCTGTCCCGTTTTAAAATGTCCCTTTTGATTTTTGGGCATATTTAAGAAAACTTAAAATAGAGTTGATTTTTCGAAATTGTGAATACTTTTTAGGAGGGATGATGATGAATGAGAATATAATATGGAGAAGATTGACTTATTTTAGAGATAGTTTAGGTATTTTATTTTTAAAAGTTTACGAAAACAACTAACAGACAACTTATTTTGGGACGGAGAAAAAAGGCAAGCAGACAATTTAAAATGGGACCGAGGTAGTATAATATTATAATCCCTTCGCCTTAAAAAAAATTTCTTTGACTTTTGCGGAATTTATGAATATAAAACAACCGATAGGTTATATTATATTAAATTTATAACATAAAAAATAGTTTGTCATTCTTTTTTGGATTTTCTTTGTTGACAAGGAAAAGAAATAATGTGTGTTCATATGCTTATTCACCCTTTTAAACAAATTTCTACAATTAAAATTCTTTGGCGTGTCCACGTCAGTAAAAAGCAAGAAAGAATGTGGCATTTGTCAAAAAAGAAATCTCTATCAAAGCCAAATAAAGCTCTTTATAATCAAAATGAAAATAGAGATTGTAGAGTGGTGAGGTGTGACTAGAAAGTTGGTGTCACACTTACCTCCTTTAATTTTGTTTAATTACTCCATCCGTCTCAGAAAGAATGTCACGTTTACTATTCTGGCATCTCGATAACTTTTGTTTGTTTACTCGTTTTGGTTGACCATTTGATAAAATAAAATATTCTTGTTGCATCTTGTTTTGTAGAGCTTTTCATATACTTTTTTTTTACTTTTTATTACTCTACCAATTTGAAATTAAATTGATTTTAAAAGAGATGATATTTTGCACGTCGTTCGAAGTGTTGCAAATAAATTGGGACGGAGGAAATATTTTTTTACAATACACAAATACTTGAAATTTACAAATTTCTAAAATTAACTTTCTGGTATTCGGAAAGCTCAGTTGAAGTGGTTCGGCCATATAAGACATCAGAATGCTGGTGCTCCAGTGCGAAGATGAAAGAGACTAACGTTACTATGAGAAAGTATGGGTAAATCGAAGAGTTAAAAGGAATTAAGTACTACGTAATTATATAGAACTTAAGACTTTTTGCTTTTATTGAGAATATATAATCTTAGATAAGAGTGTTCGGACACATAGGATTCAAATAGCTGGGTGAGTATTACTATGTTCGGACACATAATAAGATAGAACTTTCGCAGGTTCTAACTATGTTGTTGTATTATGTTAAACATTTTATATTTAGAGTGTAACTTAAATTTAAACCAACAATAATTAGTACACCGTATATTTACAAGGCCTTTGAAATATTTACAGTAGGGTCATCACTACTTATTACACTTTTTTATATTAAACGAATATTTCATAAATGGGAATGGCACAAAAAAATCAACATCTAATAAATGAAAGCAGTAGTAAATGAGAATTAATTAAAGCGGGAGAATAAATGAATTTCTTTTGAAGCAATCCAAGAGGGGACCATATTGAGACTATATTTATGTCAGTGATTACTTGTAAAATGTGCTATGCCATCCTAAAAATAATAGTCCCTGTCTCAAAAAATGTTCTTATTTTATTTTTTACATTTCTCATAAAATAATTATATTCCGTCCCAAATGCCTTAAAAAAACTCAAAACAATTTCTACCTACAATAAAAAAGAAATGTGGCAAATCTTAACCATTTTATGTGTGAATATAAGTATTTTATAGGGATGCACAAAAAATGAAATACGAACATCTTTTTGGGACGTGGGAGTATATAATTTACATATTTATTTTTGAAATGTTTAGTTTTTATACTCCCTCCGTCCCAAAAAGATCGTTACGTTTCATTTCTTTGCGTATCCCTTAAAATATTTTTATATCATCTCAAATGCCAAAAAAACTTTCAAAACAATTTCATCTTATAATAAAGAGTAAATATGGTAAATTTTAGAAATTTTAGATGAGAGTAGCATTGCTTTTTGTGATGCGCAAAGAAATGAAACGTAACGATCTTTTTGGGACGGAGGGAGTATATATTATTGATTTTTTAGTATAGAAAAGAGTTTTTTTAATACGTAACATTTTTTATTTATTCACTAGATAAATTTTAACTATATACTTCATATTTTTTATTACTCCGTATAAAATATCATTTTTAACTTTTTTGAATTCAAATAAGAAATTTTATTTTGGAATCTAGTGACTTTTTTTTTTGTCTATTTGGAGTTTTGGACTATGTGTTGCGGCATCCTCCTTTGAAGATATTGAACCTTTTGAGTTTTGACCGTATTGAAGAACAATCTTCTTTTTATATATTTGGCTTTCAATCTTCTGTGTGTTTTTCTTAGTCTATTGTGAAATATCATAAAGTTTCAGCTATAATTAAAAGTTTCGTTAAATCCACCCATATTATTAGGGGTGTAAACGGATATTAATCGGATCGGATGTGCCATTACCAAATCCGCATCCGTTTATTTTTGTCGGATATCGAATTCGGATACGGATCTTGACGGATACTGAAAATCAAAACCGTATCCGCATCCGTCGGATATCGGATATATCTGTATCCGTTTCCAATTTTTAAAATCAAATTAAAAAATACTTTATTTTTAAATTAGATTAAAGTCAAACTATTATTAAATCAACTATAATTTGTTATGAGATAATTATTTTCTTTGTTTTCATGATTTCTGATATTCTACAATAACTTTATATGATAAAAAGATATACACAACACATATATACACATATTTTTATATGTCTGTATATATTTTTATGTGTACACATTTATTTTGTATTTAAAAATGTCTTATATTTTGAAATATCAATAGAAAAACAAAATATAAACATAAAAAATTAGGAAAAACTATATATAACGGATCGGATATTCGGATAAACAGTTATTTAAACGGATGCATATGCGGATCAGATTTTAAACGGATCGGATATACAATTACCAAATCCGTATCCGTTTAGTAATCGGATACGGATAATATCCATTCAAAACGGATGCAGATATTTCTCTCTTTAAACGGATACGGATGCGGACGGTAATCGGATTTTCGGCTATCCATTTACGGCCCTACATATTATATAGGCTGATTCCAACCCAGGTAGTTGTTGCTATTGATGTTGTTAATTAATATAATTGGACTATTTTTAATGGGACTATTTAATTTTTTTTTAAAAAATTAATGGGACTATTTATTACCGTACAACTTAAAAGTAATTAGATACCTTTGAAACTTAAAAAAAAAAGTAATTAAAATCAAAGTTGTTATACTCATACTACAATTTGTACTCGTATTAGTTAAACCACTAAAACATGGACATTTATCAATTCTACCAAACCAAAGAGAAGCAGGTTGCTATTATGCACTTAACCTCACTTAACTTATGATTATGCATGGAAAAATTACCTCAATAGAACTAAAACATTTGCCTCAATAGAACTAAAACATAATGATTTTTTTAATATAGGATCATATGTTTTATTTATCAATGTAGGATCATTAATCATAATTCAAGTAAACATCCATCATCACACCATCACTGAACACTATTTCTCCCAAACATTAATAAGTCCTATTTTGGAAATAAAAAAATTTAAATTCTATATTGAAAAAAGATTTTTGTTTTAGTCCTATTTAGAATAATTATTTTTAAAGAAATATTTGTACTAAATAGCACTAAAACATAAATCATTTCTCAATGTAAGATTTAAACCTTTTTATTCCCTAAATAGCACTTAATAATATTTAGAAGGAAGAATAATGTCCAGAAATATTGAATATTTACTTGAATAATGACTAATGGATAATGACTAAAAGTGCTACATTGGAAAATAATAATTTCTCAATAAAAATATATAATGCTATTTACGAAAAGTCATTATGTTTTAGTTCTATTTAATAAGTAAATTTCCCTTTTTTAAATCACAAAACTTTTTGTTTCTAATTAAATTTGAAATTGACTTTTATTAAATACCTATAAAATAAATGGGAACAAAAAATTTAAAAAATAGATTTAGATGAATATCAAATAAGCAAAACAGTGGAAATTTATGAATGAAATGATTTTGTAACACAAAATAAATAGAAAAAATCTAACGAATGACGATTGTGTATGTCACACAACAGATATAAACAACAACTCAATGAAATATAAATAATTAAAATAATTAATTTTATGCATTATTTGTTTTGCTAGTAGAAAATAATCTTTTTATTGTCACTTTTGATCGGGATATAGTATATTAATTAGGATGCTATGATTTTTTTTTAATTTTATTATTATATATATATATTGTTAATATAAAAAAATCTATAAAAAAATCATATAAGAATCCACGAAATTTCATAAACCAGCAACATTCATTCACAAATAATCAATGACTTTAAAAATACGAATAAAAATACATGACCTTAAATAATCCCATGAACATATTAAAATTATGAAGAAAATACATGACTTTAAAATATAAATAATAAGTCTATACACAATACATCCTTATTAAAACTCACTCTTCTTTAGCGTGTTCTAACTTTTAAGAGAAACTGGAAATTAAAGTTACAATACACCACAATATGTACCCTATAACTGGTTATACAGTGTTTCCCGTGCATCTACGGCAGTGCTCATTTATAAGTAATTGAATCTTCATTTCCTCATTTTCAAGCAAGTATATACTCATTCTTGAGAAATTGAATATTGATTTTCTAAAATTCAGTTATGATAAAAAATGATTATTCTGTTACTCGAAAATGAGTAGTTAGTTATTCGAAAATGAATATTTATGTGGATGTATGGAAAATATCGTACACTTAGATGTATGATATTCATTTTTGTGGTATTCATTTTTAAGTAATTGGTCATTCATTGTCGAGTAACAAAATACTCATATTTTATCTTGACTAAATTTTAGAAAAATGAATATCAATTATTTAAAAATGAGTATTTAATTGATCAAAAATAAGCATTCAATTATTCATAAATGAGTACTCACCGCAGATGTAAGAAAAACACCGTGTATCCGGTTGTACAATACATTGCTTATACAAGGGGGAAAAAATATGACAATAATTTATGGGCTTGAGCCCAGTTTACAACCCACTGCCCATTATACCATCTTCTTTTTTCAGCCTTATTATACATAAAACCCGGAAGCCGGAGTTCCAAAAACCTAGGGTTTTGTATTCCAGCGAGCAGATCTGCGATTAGAGCTCCGGCGATCGCGAAAATGGTGAATTTCTAACACAATGCTTCGATTCGTTCATAATTTTTGCATTAATTGATTACAGTTTTGATTTATATGCTCCGAAATATGGTTCATTTTCGATCTGTATAATTCAAATGTGTAGCCGTCACACAAGACCTTCATGATCAAGAAGAAGCTCGCGAAGAAGCAGAGGCAGAACCGACCCATTCCGAGTTGGATCCGAATGAGGACCGGTAACACAATCAGGTCGATTTTTTCCCCTAAAAGCTTGAAATTGTTACTATTATTTAGTTCGATTTCTGTTTTGATTCTTATATTTAACTTGAATCGAATTTATTCTTGTTTTTCAGGTACAATGCGAAGCGCAGGCATTGGCGTCGCACTAAGCTAGGGTTTTAAGGTGGTTGTTCTCTTTAGACTGCTTGAGTGGTGGAAAACTGTTTGATTTATCCATGGATTAGGTTAATTAATGGTTGAGAGAATCAATGTGTTGGATTTCGATGTTCTTTGGATTGTTTGAGTTCCTCTCGGGGTGCTTTTTTTGGTATAGTATATTTATGCAGTGTTGAGTTATATCTGTGAATTTGTTTCAAATTTCATGCTGGTAAAGATTCTTCATTGGTGATGTCTTTAGTTCGAATCGGCATCCCTTACCAGGGGTGCACACTCCTACATTTTCTCGCGTCATTCTCGAACCCTATTTTCCCCTTAAAGTTTTACTGCGTTTGTTGTTGTCCTTTGTCATTGTAGAAGTTTGGAAAACCCCTAGTATTTCTTCATCCCATCTCTTACAATGTGTTTGGTCCATCGTTCCTCACCAAAATGAAAGGAATTTGTTTTCCTCATGGTACATTTTGCTTTCTCATTTTCTTTTGCTCGTTAACCAACCAAAAAAAACTGTTTTGCCCCATGTTTTCTTTCATTTTCTCTTTCGAATTTGTGTGTGATTTCTCCTTCATGTATCATGCTTCTTTGTCAAGTATGATCTCATGTCATTCATTGTTAGTATTGTTTTGTCTTGTTTATGCATGCCCTCCAAACTTGCAAGACATTTCACTTTTTCACAAATATGCTGTGCCTAAAACTACCTTTGGTCTAAAATTTTAGGAGACACTGTGCATTAGAAATGCCAACTTTACAACATTAAAATTTCAATATCTAGACTAGTTTTTACAATGAAGTAAATAGTCTTAAAATTACGGGCCAGTAAACTTAGGACCATCAAACAATGTTAAAAAAGAACTTCATTTTTCGCCCCTTGGTTTGATGAAATTTTGCATTAGTCAATAGTCTTTATTGAGTGTTTTTCAAAAGAGTTTTATTGGGTATTATGTTGAGCGGTCAAGGTTTGTAAAAAAAAAGTGGTATTTAGAGCAGTTCAAGAAGTGGGCTTTGTTTGGCAAAAGGGTAGTAATGGGAGGAAAAGGTAGGGAATATTTTGTGGCTGTGCTAGTGTCATGTATGACACAACAGTCAATGTCTCACAGATTATTGAAGATAATGACTCTATGAAAGATTGTCTTAGTTGAAGATAATCTCTATGAGTGATTGTCTATGGTGTTATTCCTAATGTGATTTGTATTTTTCTTTCTTCTACTGGTTTGGGCTAATTAGTAATTATACATATTTTCTTTCTTCCTAAGAAACAAAGATTTCCAAAATCATTTTTTACCCTGCCATTTTCCGTGCAAACAAAATAGGGGTTTTAGTAAGATCTCTTTAACGGGAGAATTTTATGGACTTAAGTCCAATCAAGTTTAACATTTTAGTCTAAGAAATTTGAACGTGGTTTATATGCAATCAGGTCTTTTCAAAAATGAAATGGTGGAATATATTCGTGGGCCGGACAAAGCGATAAAGGATCAATTAAAGTATCGGTATTAAAACTTTTTGGTCAACATTCAACAACCCTTGCCGTTTTGCAAAGTTATTAAGAATTTAATTTTTCTCCGGTCTTCATTTTGATAATAATTTTATCTTGAGCAATACTAAGTTCACAAGCAAAGCTGTTTTTCAAATTATTTTAGGCTATTTTATTTTTTAATTAAAGTTCACAAATAGTAGGTTTGTGAAAGTTGTGACGGTTTTGTTTGTGAGCCAAACATTTCCTTTTTATTTTTTCTCTTCTCGGTAATTTTTGTTTGTTTCTGTGTTTCATTGGTCATTTGATAAAATAAAATACTCTTGTCACTTCTTGTTTTGTAGAATTTTTGTAATTTTTTAACATGTAATTTTTATTTCTTATTGATGCACCAATTTGTAAATAAAATGAATTCTAAAATTGTAGAATTTTATCCCGTAATTCCCATTTTGTAATCAAAACAAAGACGGAGAGAGTACATCATTTAGGTTATTACTTTCCACTTCTCCATCTAGAATTTTGAACTATAGTCATATTCGTAAAACATTTTAGCAGAACAGAGCAGAAACTCATCTGAAGGCTAAGAAAATAAAAGCAAAACCCTTTAGTGGATAACAAACCCTTAAGCAGACTATAAACTTGAGAACCCAAGTACAGTGTCAACTGTACATATTCATTTCCTTTTTTTTTTCTTCTTTTGTGGATATCAAAAAAAGTTTCTCCCAGCAAAGTAAAAGTATAGCAAAAGGTCAGCTATCTTGTTTTAAAAGTTGGGAGTTACATTAATGTGCATATAAATACAGTGCAGACTCTACAAAAATTATTTACAAGTGCAAAAATTCTACTACTAAAAAGAAAAGGCTCAAATTCACTATATAGCAGTGCCTTGGATGATACACAAATGGCTGACCTGGAGATGTAAATTGTGCAAATGAACTTTAAACATCCAACTGGACCGCGGAATCCGCTGTCACACGATTGAGCCTAACCGTTCCCAGAATTTGTTCCGGGAGTTCTGATTCTTCTTTTGCCTATGGATCAAAGGTAATGAAATGCAATTCCTCAGAAAATTGATAGCAGCACCCATTATTGTGAGAGAAATTTTTAATTGGAAGAAAGACATTCAACTTATTCATGAGGACTACAACTGTTAAATGAATTTAGGATGATGAGTTCAAGAACTGTTTATGCAAGGTTACACACACCATATAAACTTGCTCCCTATTATTGAAGGTGGAGTCACTCCTTGTGGCTATAAGGGGTCCATGGAAAAAGGTTTACCAATATAAATGAAAATGAGATACCTCTAGTAGAATTGCGAGATCGACCACAAGGCTAGATGCATATCCAAGTACAAGTCCCATGACGCTCCTTGCAACAGAGGATGATCCAATGTCCACGTCAATCTGGACACAAGTTCTTATTAAGATCATAGACACAAGTACAGAGAGAAAGAGGGGAAAGATCATATCCAATATCTAGATCATAAAATGAGAAAAGTACTCCGTAATGAATTCCATGAGAAAATAAACTAGTTGGCTATGAGGGTTGACGAAGAAACTGGACGTTAAGAGTTTGAGCCCAAAAGAACGGGCTCTAAGTAGGCAAGGAAATGGTTGGGCTAAAAGTATCAATTCAGTGAGCTAACATGGCATGCGGGGTGAATTGGGAACCAAGCACAAAGTTTCCTTGCTTAGATGCTTGACAAAAATATTCTTTTTGGAGATGAGGGAAACCCATTGTCGCTACCCGATGGGCTATGCACTGGGTAAACCCCGCTCCCATGGGAATATATAATAGCCCTTAGGACAACAAATGGCTCAAGAAGGGGGACAATAACAATATAACATGAATAAAAAACCATATATTCTTCTGATATAGTGGATTAATTAATCTGCACTCGTGAAATCTTTCAAAATACAGAGAAAACGCATGGTTACAGAATTCCACCTCCAGAAAATTGTCTTGACACAGGTACGAGCATGCTACCGCTTTTCCTAATAGGCATGCTTTAGTTCCAACTGCACGCTTTACCATCCAGTGTCCCTGAAGTAACATGCATTAAGCTGATATATGTCTGGGGGGAGAAAATGTTTATGAAAAGTGTGAACTGTGATTACTGACAAATCTTTTTTTTTAATATATTGAAGGTGATTACTGACAACTGTGATGATACCTCAATGATGCTTGGTATCAGTTTGAATCTTGAATCACGGAACATGTCGGTTCCATCAATGAATTTTCTTAACAATGAATCTTCAATGATAGGCTCATTGGTGGCAAAATAAAGAACCAGGCTGTAATTTGGTTTAGCTGGAACCTGAAGATGAAATCATGATATCATTTCTCATATTAATTCCAGAAGTAATAATAGGATATTAGGCTTATCAAAGTCATTTTATCTTGTGTAACACTACTATACCTTGACATCACATTTTTTGTTGGCCAAATTGACCAGCATAATACTTAACAAAAAACAAGTATGCAAATGTAAGCATCGAGAATACAACTCTTTCTTTGGTGAGGTACAACTAGTGAAAATCATCAAATTTATTTGTTAGTTGAACTAAACATATGTTTGGCAAGCATCTTTTAATTTGAAAACATTTGTTTTAAAGAAAAATAATTTCCTTCTCTCAATATTGACTCTTTTTATGGGGCAAAAATATAATGAGAAAGATATGATCTATATGAATAAAAATAATAATGTAGACCAATTAAATTAAGGAGTGAAATACGAGGATCGTGTAGGAGTCTTAGTTTATCCACTTTCCTCCTCATTCCCTCTAACTTCCAAACCAACCACACACCACTGCTTCACTTCCCTCTCATCCCCTCTAAAATCCTCCAACCAAACAAGGGCAAATATTTACAGCGGTCAACTTTTGGGACTTTTGAGAGAGGAAATGTGGCAAATTAAAATGAGATAATAATATACGAGTATCTCATTCTTATTAAAGTCATTCCAGTTTAAATTTAAAACCGTGTTATGCATAGTATGCAACCGTATGTTCTTGAAGAGCCAAAGCGGTCAAAATATTCATTTATCATCATGCGACCTTATTTGTAAGTATAGAAGCTAAATTCATATGAAAACAACTAACCTAGGCTGTAGCCATGAATAAAAAGAGATTCCAAGAGGATTTACTTTTGAAAGAAACATAAAAAAGTGAAAAGCAGTATTGTTTGCCAACGCGTACCATAAGGTTAATGACAAGGATGAATGGAACTTTTTTCCCCGCTTCAGACTGCATGAACAATAATATGTTATTTGTAATTAGCTAACTAAGTATAATCTAGAAATGAGAAGACTGAATCTGCCCACATAGGTCCGATCTATGATTGTACACAACTTCTTATTGCAAGAAATTTACTCAATTATTAGAACCTATATCAAAAGTTCTTATCAAGCCAAACCAATGACACATAGCACGGTTGTGTACTTTCATCACCTGAACAAGACACTTGGGGTGCAATGCAAACTTTGTGATACAATTATCCGCCTTGTACCAATCAACTGCAACGAGACTGAGCAATGGATCTCCACCCTTAACCTGGAAATGGTAGAACATTATCAAATCTAAACAGGAGTCTTACTTGGGTAAAATCCCAACTGACCCAACGCATGGGAATTTTTTTGGAGTTTTACGCACTTAGAATTTCAACACACATCACATCATAAAATCAAGCATTAAATGAAATTTTCCAATAAGCAAATCAAATCATTATCAAAGAGAACTATGGAAGTTTTCAAAAACAATTTTGGAAGGCTGAATAGTAAGAATCAAGTATAATACTTTCCATCAATAAGCACCTTTTATCTCAAAATGGAACAAAGTAGTGAGTTGAGAGAAACTGGGGACCCTCACTTAAGGCCTTAAGGGAGAGTGGATACACTCTTCACTCATGTGTTTGATAATATTGTGAGGATCATTCAAGAGAATATCCAATCTAGCAAACTACCGCAAGCTTGACATATTTCTCAATTCTTTACCATGTACTAACTTGCAAAAGCATAATTAACCATCAAAAAGTTCTTTTGTTATGTTGTAACTAGCTTTTTTACCCGTGCATTGCACGGGTGATTTTCATGCACAACATGTTGATTTTATTATAAATTTAACTATCATTTGTTGTGAAAGATATAATAAATTTAAGTTATGTTGTACTTGTTACCCATAATATAAAAAGATACAATTATGTATGATTAACATTGAATAGCGCAAAAATCTTAACTATTTTTAACGATTGTCCTTAGCTCTATTTTTTCATCTTCATGGACAACTAAAATATATTTTGGCCTAATATTCTTAAAGAACTTCCCTTTGATGTAAACTGCTCCGTATTTGTTAAGGTAATTTCAGTCTGTTCTCATCAATGAATATAGCAATCTACTAGTCTACTAGATATCTTTGAGATGGATCTTAAAGTGAGGAGTCGCATCATGAATGAAATACCTTTCTATTATCGATTAGGTATGACTTCCCTCTGATCATGAATCCCAATTCCCCCGGAGAACTCCAGCAGCTAATGTCATTTTCATCATTCCCTTGCTTCATGGTACCATGGAAATAACTTGGGCTGAGAGATGTAGCAGGTGAATTTGTTTTGAACTTCTTGCCAATATCTGTTGATGGATCAAGTGATTAACCAAGTGTTTAATAAGCCAAATTCAGATTTTATGGTCAGGAAAATATGCTCTCTTTGGCTACATCTGATTAGAATGGGGATGTTATTAGTATTTAGAATCCATGATAAGGAAAAGTTCTCTGTACTCTATAGTAGAAGTGTGGGCAAGAACAAGCCAAGTATTCCAAAGATCCTCACTTGATATCAAACGAGAAATAATAATAATAATAATAATAATAATAATACTCCGTAATAGTAATAGTAATAGTAGTAGTAATAGTACTAAAAATAACATTGTAACAACAACAACAATAACAGTAGCAAGAATACTCCATAATAATGAAGGGCATTTGAAAAACTGAGGCAGCATATGACTTTCAGAAGGCATTACCAATTTACCACCTGTTTTCTGATCAAAATTCATAGACAACTCTTGTCGAAATTATTTAATGGATCTTTAGACCATTTCTAAGTAGCCATGGAAGTGCGGAGTACTCCATTGAAGAATTACCTTATACTCCATCTGTCCCATAAAAAGGCTCTACCTTTGACTTGACATGGAGATTAAGAAAACTGACATTGCGAGGTTCAAAGTGATGCAGAGGAGAGAGAAATTATAAGGGCCACAAAATTATTTCCAAAAGTGGAAAGTGGAACCTTTTTTGGGATTGGCAGAAAACGAAATGTGGAACATTTTTATGGGAGGGAGAACAAATTTGAAACCAGATTTATCACACAAGTATGTTTCCTTAAATGCATGATGTTTTCCTGATCAAGAATACAACACCATGTTGTATGGTGGTCACGTCAGGTAATAGTGTTGAGTAAATACATGGAGTTCAACTATCATATAGCTCAAAGCACACAACCTCACACAATTCAAATTTTAGGGTCCTAAACTCCAAATTTACATACTTCACTTCCTAAATAAACACCAAGGATTGCACTCCTTCAAGATCATCATAAATACTCCGATAAATCTGATCCGGAGTAATACACATCATAGTACTATCATTCCCCTACAATTATCCAACAACTAGTTTCTTATATTGTTTCCACTATCTTGTGGGTGGTGGCTCATTGACACCTCCACAAACCTCCTACAACAAAAACAACAACAACACAAATTCAGTATAATCCCAAGTCCTAACTCCATTGGAGTATGGGGTCAAGATGTACACAACCTTACCCCTGTAAAAAACAGAGATGCTGATTCCGTTAGAACCTTGTCGCATTGTTGCATGCCTGCATTTACTCTCCAAACTTCATATGAAGAGAAGCAAAGGAAGTTTAAAGTGTGATTTCAATCTACTCCATCATTAATCCTAAGCAAAACTATTGTTGAAATGACTCTTTTGGCCACCTAATATCTCAATACTCATTAAGGTGAACAAGGTACAAGTATAATTTAGAAAGAAAACATTTTGAATAAGAATTTGCTAAATTTGAATGTAGCATGTATATACTCCAAGAGATGAAGCAAAAAGAAGATGGTAACTCAGAAGATACCTGAAGCTCGATTCAGTGCCAATCTTGCAGTTGCCCATGAAACCTTCTTTGGTTTAAAAGTTTTATCCTAAGCAGGGTGAATGGAAGATGGATATTATAAGGCTTAACAAAAAAAATTATACCTCCTCAGATTGCTTCAATGTGAACCAAAGAAATTACAGACCTCATTCATGGGTTCTACTTCATCATCACTGTCATCGTCAGATGATGACGAGTCAGATGCAATTGCATCGTAAAACATATCCACCCCGTCTGCACCCTCAAGTTCATCATTCTGTACAAGAACATCTGATTTTTTTGAATTAAAGCTTACACCAGATGACTTGAAAGGGCGTGTCGGGTTTGCTCCAATATATTCTTTTAGACCTACAAAAATAATAGAGAATTAAGTGGAACCATGGGGCTGGAGAAAGAGAAATATAAGAGTGAAAGCGCCACAGGTGATAACTAGGTGCAACTCGCACTTCACTTACACAAGACTATATGAAAATCAAAAGCACCTCATAAGGATGAACCTCTACAAAGAAGATACAAGAGAACAAAGTGATTCACCTGCCACTTGACTTAGCAGTCCAAACGGAATAGTCTTCTCAAATTCAGAGAAATCATTCTTCTTCCATTTGAGCCAGTTTTTAGAGCGAATCTCCACCATTAGTGTCACAAGACATTTTGCAGAACTGGATGATGTGCTTATATTCCTAATCTCCCATGATGAAGCTATATTGCAATATTAGCAAAGTCATGAAGAATTGAGAAGACAGAAAAATGAGTTCTTAACCTTATTTCTATCAAGGTTAACATTATTTTCATGATCAGTGAAACATCAAATGAGAAGCATGGATAAGCTTGGGCATGCCTACTAAGGCTATGGAGCGCGAACTTTCACTCATGAGCAGTGGGATATGGAAAATGGGAAGTGTTTTAGCCAGGTATGAATGAATAGATTGATTGTCGGTTCGGTTCTAGAATGATCAATAGCCTTCTCACCATACTTCGAAGTATGAGGCAGAAGTACTAAAACAAGCACTTCCTAACTCTATGCATTATTCATTCCATTGGTCTGGATTACTCGGGTTTTCGAAACTATAACAAATTGGATTGTAAGTATGCTTTTCNAAACATCAAATGAGAAGCATGGATAAGCTTGGGCATGCCTACTAAGGCTATGGAGCGCGAACTTTCACTCATGAGCAGTGGGATATGGAAAATGGGAAGTGTTTTAGCCAGGTATGAATGAATAGATTGATTGTCGGTTCGGTTCTAGAATGATCAATAGCCTTCTCACCATACTTCGAAGTATGAGGCAGAAGTACTAAAACAAGCACTTCCTAACTCTATGCATTATTCATTCCATTGGTCTGGATTACTCGGGTTTTCGAAACTATAACAAATTGGATTGTAAGTATGCTTTTCGTAAGGCGTCTTTCAACGCTTTATTTCTCATCTCTTCATTTGGGAGAGTGATGAGTTCTCACTAAAGCTCGGGCATGCACTCATTAAGGCTTCATTTAGCGACAAACACACCAACTCTTTATTTATCTCTTCTTCCATATACAAGTTATAAAAAAGAAACATATTATGAGCTCTACCAGTTAATGAGCTCTACCAATTAATGCTTAATCTTGACCATTCTACTGTAAGCAAGATAATATGACTTTGTTTATTGAATCAATAATATGATTTGTATAATGAGTAACAAGATGTTCTCTTACCATTTATTTTTGTACGACGATAACCAGATTTTGGAGCGCGATTCTTATGAACAGCTGGAAACTGCAAGATTGCTGCATATTTGAACGAATGCACTTATAATTAATATGAGGGGTTTTTACAATAATATTTATATCTGAATGCATAAACTTTGTTTAATTATCTGCAATTGAATATATAATGAAAATTATTAGTCAGGGCATTGGTTCAGCCAAGCCTTCTTTGGATGTGTTACACTCTTACAGTAAGTCATTGAAGATTCCATGTCTTAATTATTTCTGTATGCTATTTTTCCATGTAACTAGAACCATTAACCACTATGCTTTTCCTTTCATCTTCTCTCGTGTTTAAATTATTTCTTCTATACAAAAGAAATTTAAAAAGAAAGCCTGATAGAAAGCACCAAAATTTATTTCTGACATACAAAAAGTTGATAAGAGTTGTGCTTTCGTTTTTAAAAAAAAATTGATAAGAGTATGGACTATGGACATTGGGTTCACACGCTCTCAGCCCCCAAAGAAGTTTTTTTTAATACTGTCTGTCCCAAAGTAAGGTTTTTGTTCCATTTTAAGCAAAGAATAGTATGCTCCACATTATCTCTCCTCTAAATAAATGCCAACCACAATTTTACTTAATAAGTTTATTGGGTGATCGGTTCAAACCAAGAAGGCAAGAACCTATTTTGGAATTCAAGAAGAATTTCTTACTGTATGTTCCATCTTGCCCAAGACACCATTGCCGGGAGAAGACAAAATCTCTCTTAGAGTGCCACCTGTGAAAACAAATCTTAGTGGATAGAACTAAGTTGTGCCTAAGACGATGAAATATGGCAGAGTACTGTTTTCAGGATTTAAATTTCAAGAAGAAAGCAAATCATAGTTGCAAGCATAGCTCATAGCGACAATGCACTAACACATCTTTACAAGCAGGCTGAAGCAACCATAAAATTTTGGCTTGTTGGCAAAAAGAATCTAAACTTATGTATCTTGTGAATTGTGATAATTATAGCCAAACATTTCTTGAGTTAGGAATAGTTTAGTAAAGTTAAATCCAAAGGCATAAGCATAACACATAACCATTTGCAGTGGAGCAAAATGCATGTCCATAAAAGATCTCAACCTAGTAAGGAATAAATAGAAAGAATAAAAAATCATGCATGAAAGGCACCAAATTCTAGTCAGCAGTTAGTAGTCATTGACATATCTCTTGTATTCGTCAATCATACTTTCTCTTGCACTCATCCATTCTCAGCTTAATTTCCAAATTAGATCCCTATGTTTATTTCCTAGAAGCTTGATGAATTACCTATTTTGTCCACACCCATCTCCACTAACACGGAGCATTATATATGTCAGCGAGAGGGAAGAAAAAGAAGGGGGTGGGGACAGCAATAATTGCTAACTTACTTAAAACACATGCCAAGAAAGATCATAAACTATCTACATCATAAAATAAAGAAGGAATACTCAAATGAAGAATTCTAGATGCAGAATAACAATCTAAAATAATTGAGTAATTAATTTATTACCAAGTCAGGTGTCTTGGCTCAAATGTCCCATAAACAACATCATAATGCCCATTCAAGGAAGCAACCAGCTCCAGGTCACCTGTCAATGTATCCCACCTGTTGGATAGCACTATTAGATAAACTTAGAGATCGGAAGTTAGAAATATCTCCCTAGATAAGTGCCAGACATACTCATATCTTTGGTGTCGATCAAGATTTAGCACAATATCAAAAATAGTGTTTGCACTTGCTTCAACAACACCAACAGCCTTGACAAGAACAACTTTACAACTCTGTGCATGCATAGACAAATAAGTTAATAGAACCTTAATAAGGGAATCCCTTTTATGTGGATACCAAAAGCAGTAATAAAATCGGGTTTCCCTCATTGCAAGCATCAATTTAGAAGAATCAGGCGATAACATGACTACACGACTTTCAAATTAAGAATGATGTTTATTGAATTGATACCTTTGCTTCTGCCACATCTTCAAATATTCGAACACCTACACTACAAAAAGCAGATAAAAAAGTTACACAGAAGCAAATGAAGCAACACTCTTGAGTAATCTACATTTAACAAATCACTCTGAGCTTCATTCAGCAAGTACACATGCTGTTACTTAAAACTTGGTTAGTTCTAATAATTACGTTCACCTATATTTGAAATTACTTTACCACATAGATCTAGAGATTATATTACTAACCCCTATGTTTTAGATGGACTCATGGACCATATGTTTTGTTATAAGTTTCTCCAGTCTGGGGCTAATTATGGCGCCTTGCACTTGCATCTCTAATATTTATACCATATATGGGTCCCAATGCAGTTTTTACCAAACTCACTTACTCACTGGACACTGTTACTAGAAAATTGGTCACAATGCCATATATCACATAGAAACAGAGTAAAAACCAGCATTGATGATTACTTTTCAGTACAAGTTAAACCCGACACCAGTGGCAACAAAACAAAGTGAGTTCTGGACTTCCATATATTAAATTCATTTTTTTGAATCAAGAGCACTGATGAATATCAATATTTTGAATGCCAGGTTCAATTGAATAAATGCGATCAATGTCCAGAAATTCTGAAGCACCCATCATCTAAAATATTGCCAAAAACCATGTTTGGATTAGTGGAATAGTGTCAAGAACATACAACAACGTTCAATGTGGCTACTCTCTCTATATCATAATAGAGCCACTAAATTCAGAAATGGCAACTTGTGCCAAAAAAAATTAGCACGCCATTCAGTGCATACGAATATATTATAAAGGAGGTCTTTGGTTATAGTCCAGTATGGAATGGAACAAAATAAATAGTGCATCTGAGTCAAATGTGTTGAAATCTAGAAAGGTATCCCTAGCATAGCCGTAATTTGAACAACCCATTGGATAGCCCGTGTCTTCATGAATGTTCTGTACATTTATTATATGATAAAGGACAGAGCTTAGACTCTCATAATCTTTATATCAATATTAGTGTTTTTCCCTTTTCAAATTGCATAAAATGAAAACTCTAAAGAGCATGAAAGTCCAACACAACAACAACCCAGTTAAATCCCACAAGAGTAGGGTCTGGGAGAGCATGAAAGTCCAAATAAGTAAAAATTGTATGATCAACTAGTGTGTTGGAGTTTTGATGCTACCCAGTTGGGCGACTGGATGCTTGATAACTAGATCAAGTTTCCCTTGGCATCACATCCTATCAAGGGAAGCTCGATCCAATGATCCGGCACTCACTGCTCAAATAGAGTAGCATCAATTAAACCCTGATTATCTCAAAAGACTAGATTCTAAAAACAAAAAAGAACATACCATTAATCGTGCGGATGCATTTCCATTCACGGCCTTCGGTTGTATCCCCGCCATGTGCTTCATAGTATAGCTCTGATGTGCTGTCAGCGCATAAGGTTGATGATAGCCGTAAAAGCTTTTCCGTCCCTATTTACAAGAACATTTAAAGGTACTTTTATTCTTACAGAAATGCTGGTTTGCACGAAGCCCATTCATTCTTATATGTATGGAGTGCTAGATAAGAACATGATCCACATGATGAAACTACGAAGTATTATATATTCTCTTGAAGAGAGGGACTGAACCAGCTCATGTATTATGAAAGAAAGACTTGTTGAGATAAATTAAAGAATCTACAATTACATTAAAATTTATGACGTGGAATAATATCATCAAACAGGAATATACAAACTGCAGTCTCCTGTTATATTGTTGGTGACCAATTCATCATAATGTTTCAAATCCTTTTCATCAACCGTTTTAATGAAATGTGATACACACACACAAACAAAAGCAAAACCCTACAGAGGTACATATAAGTGTGTGATAGAGAATTGTAAAATAATGTCTCTAGGAAGAAGAAGTCATGTCTCCACAAACTAACCCTGCCCTCTTTTTATTAGCTCTTTCAATCCATTTGCATACCGCCGCACCCTAGGTCGATGTCCTTCACGGTTAATCCTTCAAAAAATGATATAACCTTAGTTTGAATTTTAAAATACTCCGTATCAAATAACAGGTCATTCTTCTTTTTGAAAGTGACAATTACAAGTACATGACAATCAGGATTCAAAGACTTAAAAACTGGTTCTTTCAACAACAGAGAACTTAAATTTGCAGGCCATGAATAATCCCGGCGAGTCATAAATCCTCGTAATGAAGCTACTTGAAAGATAACAGGAGGAAGGTATATTATATAAAAGTTAATAACAAACATGAGCACTGGACATGAGTTAGCATTGTAAGAACATGTTGAAATGGTATCTTTGTTCCTACCCTCATCGCTAATATTATCCAAACAGACTAAGGTGTAGGAGGATTCCAAAAAAGCCTTGGAAATTAAAAAAAATAGAATTTTAAAAATTTGAAGAAAGGCACACAAAACAGTATATAACACATCCAGATGTGGCTTTGATCTGTAAGAAGAGGGTAGTGTGTAACCATACTCGTTTTCGGCATGCAGCTTATGGACTGCAGCATCACCACTTGAAATCCAAGCCTCCACCTACAATTAAATGGTCAGCAATGAGATTAAAAGAAGAAAAATGAAATTATTTTGCTAGGGCTTGATAGTTTCACAAATGGAAATCAGTTCAAGATTTTGGTCTCATCTAGAGCGCATAAAGCAAACCCCTTGACCATGTAAATGCACCATTCTGTTTCATATTACCTGTTGCCTTGCAAGATCAAAGGCTTCCATCCATTTTTCAGCCTCTGCAGCAGTAGCACAAGCAATCTGTTTACCAATTAAAAGTAACTCAAATGTTAAATGGATCAGACAGCCTTAAACAAAAGCAAAGTGAATTGACAATATACGTATTTAACTAAACCGGCATGGAAAACCACTTGAGTAAGATCCTAACATTATCAAAAATGACATAAAACGCTTACTTCACCCTTTTTTGTCTCATCCGAGCGGTTGTAAAACCTCACTACATAAACATCCTAAAACATGCATAAAAAGAAGAAAACTTAGTTCAGAAAATGGGAAGGCAAGATAAAGTGGAACAACACAAACAGCGAGCAAATGGAAATAGAATTCTTACCCCATGATTAACTCTTTTGCGTCCTAATCCCTCCACCACAAATGAGTTCCCAATAATACCCCTCCTAACGGGCTTCTGGATAAAGTAGAAGTAAACAAAGAATTTTAGCCAGCTGAAAAATGCAATTCAATTTAATTCCCTAGATATTTAGCCCCAATTTCTAAACCTAATTTCAATGGATTCAGTCAGAATACGTAAATCAATTCAACTAAATGCAACCAAAATAGCTCAATATAAAGCAAACAGTCGCCACGATGACAATTTCTTATCATTAAGCTTACAGCGCGCGGATTTTCACGGGGATCGCGCTTATACATTTGGACGAACATGCCGCGGACGACGAGGAACCGGTGGCGGAAATACTCGTGGCCGATTGAATTCACCCCGAGATGATACACCCAGCCGGAGTGCTCGAAGGGGGTGTTTCCTCCGCCGACGCCTCTGGAATCGGCGCCGTTCTCCGACGATCCTCCGGCGTTCCAAACCTTGTTGCATTTCGATCCGGAAGCCATTGAAGAGAAATTTTGGAGGGAAGATCGTGCATCGTCGCTCGCAAATTGACGTCGAACTGAAAGGAACGAAGTAACGAACTCGCCAAGACGGCCTAACGAACAGCGGACCGGAGAGAATACAGGATTCCCTTTTGTTTTTTTGTTTGTTTTTGTATTTTTTTAAATCTCTTCCAAATTACTCTGTAATTAAACATAATCTATATAAAAAAGACATTCTATTATTAGCGTTAGGTTCATGGTTATTATATAAACTTTAACTTTTTAGTCTTATTTCACTCATGAAAAAAAGAGATGTAATTATAAATTCATACAAAATAAGTGGGAAAAAATATATTTTATACTCCGTATACAGATACTACAACAAAACAATTCAAAACCGGTTGGGTTCTAGAGCTACTCAAAGAGAGTGGCTACAGAAGCCACTCACACAAATGGTAATCTACGGTGCTCTGTTCGTAAAATTTGATAGTTTTTGCCTCTTTAACCCCTCGGTAAATCTTCCACCCTATCCCGACCCCAACTCATCGCACTAACCACATTAATTGGTGGGTTCAAGTTCAGTTAACTTGAGTAAAAAAAAAGTGAACATAATTTATACTAAAATAAAGATAAACATGGCCTTTGTGTTAAATAGCATAACCTTTGAATCGTTCTTGCCACCTTAGTGTACACAAAAAAACAAACGCTTTGAAATATATACTCCGTAATTTGGTGTGCGTTAATATTACTCTGCAATTTATAAATTAATCATATTTCGTTTGTTGTTTTAATTAAAATATAAAATTATTTTTGAATTCCAAACTTGTTAACTTTAACCCTAAATATTATAGAGTATTTTATAAGAAAAAAATAAATTTAGAATACTTAATACGAGTTTATATTTTTTAATTGTTATTTTATCAGAGTATTCCAAAATTGTTTTTTTGTTAGTACTAAAGTTTACTTATAAATAAAAGGGTGCAGATAGATACTACGGAGTACATTGTAATCGAGACGATAACATTAAAAAAAATATAGTTTAAACCTTAATAATGTGTTTTTTAGAAGTATGATATATGAAATGTGATTGGCTTGTACTCAGTGGGGCCTCTCTAGGTCTAGGAGCAACTCCAGAAAACTTCCATGGTAGGTTTACAAAGAAATTAAAAATCAAAGAATAATAGAGAAGTGTTAATAATAATACAAAGTAAATATTACTTCCTCCGTCCCAAATTATAATGCTTGTTTACTATTCACAGGGTCAAACTTTATTCACTTTCTTTCTCTATTTTCATTAGCAATTTGATAAAATAAAATATTATTGTCACTACTAGTTTTGTAGATCTTTTGATGTAGTTTTTTAATATGTAATTTTTATTTTTTAATTCTATACCATTTGTCATATAAAATGGTTTGAAAATAATTTCAGTCAAACATCGTAAACCAAAACAGGCGTTATAAATTGGGACGGAAATAGTAAGTGATACTGAAGAAATTATATTACATAGCATTACAACACGACATTCTTCTAGGCTTCATTGCTTGAATTTGAGGTGTAGGTTTTAATCTTTTGTAATGAGATTCTGAACTTTATACTTCATC